TCAAATACTGGATAATTGTTCTCTCTCTGATATACATTACAAAGTGATAGGTAAATACATAAGCAATACTATAACAAAACTCACATTTTCTTTAAATCCTATGTTACCATGATTGATTTTATATTTTTTTAAAAAAAAAACTTTTGTGGGTCCCTGCCATGGCCCTAGACTGAAGAAGCCCCATCGCAATGGATCCAAGGCGAGCATATCACATAGGCACCTGAGAGGTCACATCTACTCCTACAACAATTTGCAGATCAAAAGGACTAGGCCTAGGAGATGCAAAGCTGGACATTCACACCTAGGAGATTTATGAGTACCAGTCAGAATGTGTTCAGCATGTGAAGTGAAGATAACAGCGTGTGAAGATGAGATAACATTAACATACCATCTCCTTTCCTTGGAAATTGTTTACTTCAAAGTGGAGTAATCTGGAATCTTTTGATATACAATAGCAACTCTTCGCCTCATGCTAGGTTTAAGAGTATAAAAGATCCACAAACTCTCAGGCACACTGGGGTCTGGTTAGATTTCATGGTGACACTGCATCACTGTGAACTCTGACTTGGGTCTTGGCTTTTTCCATTATCCTTTCCTTTTCACAACGGTTGAGTCTATCCATCTTCATTCATTGTTGAAGCAGCCTCCTTCAGGTAATTATCACCATTAGAAAACCTTCTGTTTCCTCTCCAAGCTAACTACTTTATTCCTGAGTTCTTGTGTGCATGAGTGTATGGTAGAGTGTTTTTGTATGTTTGAATCCCCAAATAAATCACAGTTCATTGGAAAGCTTTATCTCTATCAGTCTATTCCCTAGTCACCTCTGTAAACATAGGATAAAAGATCCCATTGAAGACTTGGACTTTAGTAATTCCCCAGGTTCAAGTCCTTCTTACACCTATTAATAATCCTAAATTGTTGTGGAAAGTATTTTACCCTGACTGAAGCTGCTGCCACAGTGCAGAAATAAAGCACTTTGACATCACTTTAATGGTCATGGCTCAATGCTCTTGAATTCTGGGGACCGTAGTTTAGTGGGGTACCAAAACTCTAACAGGGAAGGTTAAATATCACACAAAATTACAGATCCTAGGATTCCAGAGCATTAAGCCAAGGCAGTTGAAGTGGTGTCAAACTGCTTTATTTCTGCAGTGTGGCAACAACCCGAGAGACTGTTATTCTTTCAGTCATGTCTTTAACATTCAGTTCTTACAAAATCTGCTGATATAAAAACCAAAGGGCACTACTAAAATGTTCTAATCTAGGGCTTCCTGCCAGTCTCAAGATCAAACCTTTTTCAGATCTACTTCTACTAAGTAAAGACTATGGGCAATCCTCTTTGACTTACTTACAACATATGCAATTCAAAGTCAGTCTGGCTGCATCTAAATGCCAACAGTTTATCTCTGCCCAAAACATTGGAATGAGACAAAGAAGCAGGATCTCAGCATGGCAAAACAACTCAGTAACTTCATACTGAGATGATGATTAGAAGTGAAGTGGAGTCATATGGTCACACGTAATCCCTTTGCAACACTCAAGCACTCAAACTGAAACTCTCCCACTCTTTTCAGATTTTTTTCTTTTTTAAGGCCAGGCACTGACAATAAAAATAGGTCTAATTGGTGTGAAGGGTGATGCAGAGAACTACACTGCTGAACCATGTTTTGCAGGATTCTTACAAATGGATTAAAAGTTGTGCCTTTAAGAATTAGGGTCAGCAAAGAAAGAGGGAGTAACAGACTTGTCCAAAACACAGAAAGGGGGAGGGGGTGAGGTCAAACACAAATTAATTCAACTAACACTTTAATGAGAAATGCCCTTGAGGAGAGCAGCTGGCTCCTGGTACGCATTGTTTTGCAGTTTGGGGAGCTGCCCTATGCATGCATTCCTTCCCTCTAATGAAATTATGATGGCACTGTCAGGAGTATAGCTGGTGCAAAGGATTTAGTTAGAGAATCAACATCTCAATTGGGTTGCAAAAATCATCTTGTCCAATCAGCATTCCAGATGAAGGATCTTGGATGAATTAATCCATATCTGCACCATGCCTAAGTCCAAGCGGGCAGCCCCATTCCAATAAAAAATATGAAGCGATCAAAGTGTTTCTGAGGTTACAACATAATATATTTAACTTTTTTAAAAAAGTCTCTTCCAAAAAGCTGGTCCCAAGCTTTCTACCACTGCATACCACTATTTCTAGTGTGCCATGTGTGCTATTTATGGAGCAACCAGAAGTAACATCACAGATGTTATAAAACTCAGAGACTGGGTGTTGACTCTATTTAGAGCACTTAAAACAGGAACACACATGAGGCACCGAACTAGAAGTCAACACATACCAATTTGCCAAAGACATCACAGAAATTCAGAATCAGGGACAAAACCTAAGGTAAATATTACTGTTGTTGCATGCCTTCAAGTAATTTCTGACTTATCATGACCTTAAAGTGACCCTTCAAAGATATAGTCATGTTAGTCTCAAAGGGACTTTGCAGATTGCCAGAAACAGTGCAAATTGAGTCCACTTTAACTGTCCTGGTTCAGTACTAGGGAATCATGGGAATTGTATTTTTTTTTCTGAGACATTTAGCCTTCTCTGTCAGAGAGCTCTGGTGCCACAATAAAATACAGTTCCCATGATTCCCTAACTCTAACCCTTAAAGTGGACTCAATTTGCACTATTTCTAGCAGTCTGAAAAGGCCCAAAGTTAGGCTCAAAGGTGCTACAAGCTCCTTTTGCATTAAGGTGACCCTGTTGCTGCTGCTGCTGCTGCTGCTGTGTGCCTTCAAGTCATTTCCAAATTATGTCAACCCTAAAGCAAACCTATAATGGGGTTTTCTTGGCAAGATTTCTTCTGAAGGGGTTTACCATTGCCATTCTCAGTGGTTGAGAGCATGTGCCTTACCTAAGGTCACCCAACAGGTTTCATGGCTAAGCAGGGAAGCAAACCCTGCTCTCCAGGATCATAGTCCAACACTCAAATAAATCACTACACCACACTAGCTGTGATAGGTGACCCTATCACAGGGTTTTCTCTGCAAGATTTTTTCAAAGGGTGTTTGCCACTGCCTTTCTATGAGGATGGGAGAGTGTGACTTACCCAAGGTCACTCAGTGAATTTCAATGGTTGAGTAGTCCAGCACTCAAATCATTATATCACACTGGCTCTCCAGGTAAATAATTACTTTTACACCTGAAAGCAGTTTGCAGAAAAGTATAACTGAATTGCTATAATGTCACAGAAGCCTAAAATGGAGGTGGGAGGTTGAAAGAAGGAGAGTTTAATATATGGCAGGTCACTGATCAGAAGGCAAAGAAGACCTTCGGAGATTGAGAGAGCAGCAGACAATGGAAAGCCTGGGGAAAGTTTAGGAAAGAGAGAATGAAAAGTTGATTGGACAAGCAAAGTTCTGAAATACTGAATAAAGGGAAAATCTATATGTGTAATGATGGCTGAAGATCATAGATCTGACCTCTCTTGGCACTGAATGAGATGCTTTCATGTCCAAAATTGTTTAGGGACAGAGATTTGTGGCTTGTGAAGATGGCATTATGTGCTATTAATGGTATGGAAGGGTATATGGAGAGACCTTTCACACAGAGACCTTTCCAATGTGCCATCTCTTTCCTTAAGAGCTTCCCCATTCTTCCCAAGTGAATAACTAGAGAAACACAAGCAGTATTTGTGAAACAGCTGCCTGCCTTATTTTATTTTATTTATATCCCACCATTTATCTGAAGATCTTAGGGTGGCTTACAATGAAACCCCCTTAAAAATAAATAATTACAAAAGTTTAAATGATTAAACTATGTATTAGTTTTAAATATTTAAGAACACACAATTTAAAACCAGTTAAAGCAGCCTTAAATAATATAACTAGAAAAAACATGCAGCCTGGATAAATTCAGTTTGGC